TTTTTTTTTTTTAATTTTTCTGTTTTTTGGTAGAGTGCAAGATATAAAACACTAACCATTTTCCATCTCAATTATGTGCTTAGTGTCAAATGATTTCCATGTTTAAAATTTGTGATTTTGTTTATGATGTTTTCTCTAGTGGTTTGCATTTAGCTATATAATGTAAGATGGCATCTTATTTTATATGCTGTTTGATCTGAAGAACTAGGATTCACAAAGATGTGGATTCAGGGTTCACGAGAAGTTTGTATATGCCACTTTTAGTGAGTTTATGCTATGTAGTGTGGTAATAGATTGAGCTACTTGGTCAAGTGACAATATTTTCTTATTTTCCAAAGCAATTTTTGGTGATGATATTTCCAATATTGAAATTATGGTATATGAGCTAAATGGAATTTCTGTTTCAAAATTTACCAATTAAAACAAGATTTGAATTTTGTATCCATGGTCCAAAACTCTTTTGGGGTTAAATCAATCCTTTTTTTCCCTTCCTGACAAACAGGTGCGCCAATCGCGGGCTCTGCAGTTGACCAGTTAGAGGAAGTTGTGGGTTATGTGAGTTTGGGTTATCCATTCGGTCTTACTGCATCCATTCTCTTTGGGCGGCACCATAAAGCTATTCTACAATCTCCTAAACCAAAGCTGTTTGTAATGGGGACTCGGGATGGGTTCACTAGTGTTAAACAGTTGGAGAACAAATTGAAATCTGCAGCAGGTCGCGTTGAAACTCATCTACTGGAAGGAGTAGGCCATTTCCAAATGGAGGGACCTGCTTACGACACTCAGATGGTCGATCTCATAATAGGATTCATTAGGTCATTGCAGATCCAACCAGCTGAGACTGGTTCTCTCAAATCAACATCATGATGAATGAACATCCGCTACACCCACAAGGCCTCTTCTAGGTATTCAACTTTGTAGCAAAAACATTGGCTTTGTTTGTTTGTTGTTTGTGTACAGAACCAGGGATTGGAGATGGTTGACATCCATCTGTCTGGGGGATCGTGCAGCTTACAAAACTGTGTAATCTCATCCGCAAGCTGCTTCAATGAACATGATGCCGATTTGCTATTTATATGTGCTTTGATTTGCAGGATTGAGATTTCATTCAAACCAGTAGGAAACGCCCTCATTTTTTTCTTTTTCGTTACTTCCAGTAAAATGGCGTCTCTTGTTTTTGTATCATTCAATTGTTGTATGTTCTATTTTGCCGATAATATTACATATTGGAGCACCAATTCGTTAATTAATCAATTTAATCTGGCCCGAATCAGTCTTTCAATTAAATTTCACCGTAGGCTTTAAAAATTATGCCAATCACAATGGCGTAATCAATTTCGGGTTCTGTGGCCGATAAGGCCCTCAATTAAGTTTCCAAAGCTAATTATTCAAACAGATATTCCTACGGTGAACAGATAAAACTTCAAAATCACATAATGGCACACAAAATCATGGTAAACACATAATCATACTCAAATTAAGGACCAATTAGAATATTACGGGATAGGGGTATCACAAATTTATTGACATTTTACTGAGAATTTACTAAGTAATTTACTGAGAATTTAAGGAGTAATTTATTGAGAATTTATTAAATAATTTACTAAGAATCTGATACCCCTATCCCGTAATATTCTAATTGGTCCTTAATTTGAGTATCATTATGTGTTTACCATGATTTTGTGTTCCATTATGTGATTTTGAAGTTTTATCTGTTCACCGTAGGGATATCTGTTTGAATAATTAGCTTTGGAAACTTAATTGAGGGCCTTATCGGCCACAGAACCCGAAATTGATTACGCCATTGTGATTGGCATAATTTTTAGAGCCTACGGTGAAATTTAATTGAAAGACTGATTCGGGCTAGATTAAATTGATTAATTAACGAATTGGTGCTCCAATATGTGATATTAACTTAATGGGGCTTAGTGGGGTTATAAGGGACCCTTATGTGTTCAACTCCCTCCTTTTATTTCATTTTTGGGGCTGATTAAACTCTCTAGAGGAGGAGAGACCCGAACCAGAGAGAGAGAGGGGAGGAAATCAAAGTTTTGCTCTTAAATCTTGGAAGTCTTGAAGGCAACTCTAGACTTGACCATAAATTGGAAGAATTGAGCCTCTAGGTAAGCATTGATTCTTGAATCCATGAGTTAATGTGTAATCTTGTGTGTTCAAGAGTTGTGGTGATCAATAGCATGATTTGAGCTGGTTTTATTGAAATTGAGGCTTGATATGTGCATGCATGTAGAGAATTCCTATGGAGTCACAAAATCTAGCATGTAATTTGTGAAATTGTGAAAGATTGGTAGTGTAATCCCACATGCAAGCATGTCTTTGTTGAATGTTATAGCAATGAGCACTAATTGCATTATTTGGGATGAATGTGAAGTCAAAATGGGCATGCATGTACAAAACATGGGGGTATAAGTCTTGAATGTTTGAGTTTGAGCATGTTGGTGATGGGTTTGAGATATTTTGGGACATGCATGTAGATAAATCATGAAATTGAGCTTCCTGATGTTGTAATCTTGTATTAGTAGCATGTTAGCATGTGTAAATGTGTAATTTGGGCCATAACATGCATGAATTGTTGGTTGAAAGTCGAAATGAAGCTCAGGAACACAGTTCTGGGTTTTCCAGAATTTTGAGGTCCGCTCGAGCGGGGAACCTGACGCTCGAGCGGGAAATGCGGGCTCCCAGTACCTTTTTGCAGACTTGATGTCCGCTCGAGCGGGGTAATTAACGCTCGAGCGTGGGAGCTGTTTTAACAGGACTTCCGCTCGAGCGCCCTATTTAACGCTCGAGCGTATTTTTCATGCAACCAGTACTTTTGCAGGCCTTAAGGGTCCGCTCGAGCGGGTAAGTTGACGCTCGAGCGAGGACCCTGTTTTCTGAAATTTCGTTCATGCATTCTGTGTTCTGTTTTCCGTTCTCTTCCACTTGTAAGCACTCTTAGGCATATGTTAAGCATTGTAAATGAGCAAATGAAATGTGAATTAAGCCTAAAGAGAGATATGTGAATTAAAGAACGAATTGAACTGTTAGTGACCCTTTGTGCTCATGAAATGTGTAGGGTCAAGTTCCAGGGCAAATCCACAAGCCGATCACTGTGAGTAATATCAATACTTGAAAGCTTATCAATGTCCAATTGTGTATTCCCTTATAAGCTTTATGAGTTGCTAATTAGGATTATGGACAAAGGTCTGACATAAATGAATAATTGGACCAAATGTCGTTTTGATATAAATGAATGGGCCAAAGGCCGTTTTGATATAAATGAATGGGCCAAAGGCCGTTTTGATATAAATGAATGGGCCGAAGGCTGTTTTGACACAGATGAATGGGCCAAGGGCCGTTTTGACATGAATGAATGGGCCGAAGGCCGTTTTGACGTAAATGGAAATCAGAATGGGCCAAAGGTCAATATGTTTAGAACTACAGTCACTTGATCTGAACTTTGTATAAATTTGAAAACTTAACGAGTAATTTATTGAGAATTTACTACGAATTTATGGAGTAATTTGCTGAATAATTTACTAAGAAATTACTTTGAATTTAGCAAGAATTTATATAGAATTTTCTGAGAATTTATTGCGTAATTTACCCATAATTTACTGATTAATTCACAAAAAAATTTCGTGTAATTTTTTGAAAATTTACTCAGAATTTTCAGATAAATTACTAAGAATTGGCTGAATAATTTTTTGAGAATTTTTTTGTAATTTACTGAAAAATTTCCTGAGTAATTTAGTGAGAATTTACTAAGTAATTTACTGATAATTTATTGAGTAATTAACTAAGAATTTTTATTGGTCTTGTCGGCAAGGACTTTATGTATATCTGTATATAGTCCGTCATAGGTTGACTCGTTTTGGATGATCCTGTCTGTAATGAATTTTGTGAAACTGTACTTTTGATGTGGGTTATTAACGTATCTGAATATGGTCTGTTGATGTGCATATAAGCACGGCTCTATGGACAAAGTTTTAAATTTTTTGCTTCCGTTTGGCCCCTTTACTCTGACAAGTCATCTTATTTCGGTCTGAGGCCGTAGGTAATCACAGGATTACTGGCCGGTCATGTCCTTAACCCATAGGGGCGGGTTCGGGTCGTGACAAAGAATTTACAGATAATTTATTGCGTTATTTTCTTGGAATTTACAGAGTAATTTTCTAATAATTTACGGAATAATTTACAAAGTAATTGACTCAGAATTTTTTGAGAACTTATCGATAATTAACCGAGTAATTTACAGAGAATTTATTGAGAATTTACCGAGTAATTTACTAGGGATTTACTTAGTAATTTACAGATAAATTTAGTGAGTAATTCACCGAATAATTTACTATGAATTTACTTAGTAATTTATTTAGAATTTACAAGAGTGTTTAACAAGCAAAGCGGTATGGGCATTCTGGCACGGTGCTGACATCGGGTAAAAACATCAGCTCCGGTAGGTAAGGTATCTATGACCTCGGCTAGGACGGACAACACTTGACCTAGCTGTGCCACACCTCGGCCTAAATGTGCCACACCTCGGTCTAGGTCGCACCAATCCAGGGACAAGATCACTCGGTTCAAGGATAGCATCTCGGCCTAGATGATACACTTCTCGGCCTTAATGATACACTTCGGCTTAGAAAATGACATCTCGGCCAATATGCCTGGACGGAAACGGAGGCAAACCTAAGTGGTTCCAAGATGGTTTTAGCTTTAAGTGACTTCGACTAGACTCACCAAGAGGGACAAGACTTAACAAGTAATTCTCATAAGTATAGACCAAGACAAGAATCTTACTCTAGATAAACCAGTCGAGAAAATTCATTAGTGCAAGCTTATCAGAACAAGATTATACAATGTTCGCGCTCGGGCTAAGGTGGGGAATGAGGGTCTCTACAATTTTACTGAGTAATTTAATGAGAATTTACTGAGTAATTTACTAAGAATCTACCGATAATTTACTGAGTAATTTATTGAGAATTTACTGCGAATTGACTAAGAAATTTACTGATAAATTGTTAAGTTCTTCACTTTGTAATTTAGTTGGAAATTACTAAATAATTTAATGAGAATTTACTGAGTAAGTTACTAAGAATTTATTGATAATTTACTTAGACTTTATGTATTAATTTATTGAGAATTTACTAAGTAATTTACTTAGAATTTATTGAATAATTTACTGAGAATTTATAAAGTAATTTACTGAGAATTTACTACAAATTTATGGAGTAATTTGCTGAATAATTTACTAAGAAATTACT